TGGCTGCGCCTGCGGCCCCAACGATCGCCGCGCGCACGGAGCGCCCGTCGCAGCGGCGGCCCCCAGACTCGGACTGGAGCAGCACCACCGCCCGCGGGTCCGCTCGGAGGCGGCCTGGCTGTCACTTGGAGGCCTGGACATTGGCACCAACACCAACACAGGGGGGTGACTCCGCAGGGGGAAGACGATCCTCGATGTCGGTGTTGGTGGTAATATTTCGGTCACCTTAGAAGCCATAGTATTACCACCATCGCCAAGATCGGGGTCTTCTTCCCTCGGTGGAGGCACACAGCCGAGATTGGTGTTGGTGTCAACCTCTAGGCCTGCGATGTCACCCCGGATGTCGACTCCAAACCTGAAGGGCTGAACGCTTTGCCTCGATGCTGGGCTCCGGCCTCCACTTCGATGTGATCCTCAGACCGTGCGTCAGCGCCAACGTGCGTTCGTCCATCGAGGCCCCTCGACACGACGTAGGCGACGTAGGGCTCTACCGGCTGGGCTAAACGGGATAAACACACATTGGGCAAACACACGTCCTGAGGATCATCGACCACTGCACAACGTGCAGTACGAACATGGCTGGCTCGTCGCTGCGCAGATGGGCACGTCCCCACGCGCCCCATGAGCACGACATCGCTGCATGTGCTTCGTGCCCTCGTCCATAGCGCTCGTGATAAACGCATCCACAAACGTGTCTCAATATTCCTGCTTAGTTAGCTGGCGCCAGTCCAGACCCACATTGCGGTGTAAGACATCTCCCCATCTGCTCAGACAGCCTGGCGACACCATCCCGCGCTATGGTTGTCAATCGATGCTGGCATCGCCCGCTGTTACGCAGAAGCCACTCTGTACCTAACCTTTTGCGCTGGTGTCGTCAAGGGTCTAGGCGCTCAGGCGAATGTGTTCGACCACCTGCCCCTTCGAGCCCGACAAAACAATCAAACACTTCAGACAGCCAGCGGCGAAATTGAGAGTGCGGGGCTGGATCTTCTTCCCCAGCTTCCCGGCGACCACAGCAGCCAGACGGCGCCAGAACTCGGACGCTGTGACTTTTTGGCAACGTAGACCCACAGAAGTCTGGCCCCCTTCCCCTGGACCGATTTCTCCCCCCCGGGCTGCTTTTTGACGGCCCTCGGGCCCAGCGAGGGGCCTCCTGAGGCCGAAGTCGGAAAAAGCCGTCCCGTGGAACACGTGGTCCGCAACGAGAGGACAGGGGGGTGGACACATGTCTGGGTAGTCGAAGCCAATCTGGCGCCAATCTGGCAGGCCCAATCTGGCAAACGGGGGCAATCTGGCGAGAGAGCCAACGCGAATCCAGTCTGGCGAATAACCCAAATCATCCAGTTTGGCCAGGCCAGATTGGCCCGTGGGGCCCAATCCAATCTGACAGTCTGGCCTTCGACTACCCAGTGTGTCGAAACATCGAATTCTGTGACCAAACGGTGCCCCGGTCTTGCAAACCTATCCCTCGCGAGGCGGCCAGCCCTGCCCGCTTGTCCCTTCCCTCCTCCTCCTCCTCCTCCTCCTCCACCTCCTCCTCCTCCTCCTCCTCCTCTTCCTCCTCCACCTCCTCCTCCTCCTCCTCCACCTCCTCCTAATCCTCCTCCTCCTCCTCCTCCTCCTCCTCCTCCTCCTCCTCCTCCTCCTCCTCCTCCTCCTCCTCCTCCTCCTCCTGCTCCCCTCCTGCGATGCGGGACCCTTGCAGTCCGAGGTCGTGAACCCCCCCTGGGGGGAGGAGCACCATTCCGTTGGAGAAGCTTTCCCCTTCAATTTCCTGCCTCCCACACGCGTCCAGCTCCTTGTACATCCTTCCCCTCCTGCCCCCCCCTCCCCCCCCTCCCCTCCCCCTCCCCTCCTCCCCATCCTCATCCTCATCCTCATCCTCCTCCTCATCCTCATCCTCATCCTCGTCCTCGTCCTCCTCCTCCGCCTCCGCCTCCGCCTCCTCCTCCTCCTCCTCCTCCTCCTCCTCCTCCTCCTCCTCCTCCTCCTCCCAACGCACTGCGTCGGCGGCACCAGCCGCAAGGCGTTCGCAGTAGAGTATGTGGTCAGACGGCGGCCCAGTCTGGCAAAGCAGTCTCCTGCGAGGCGGCCAGCCCTGCCCAGGAGGAGGAGGAGGAGGAGGAGGAGGCTGGTGGGGGTGCTGCAGCGTTGCCGCCTTCAGTGATGAGAGGACAACATACGTTCAAGCATATGTTAGCAAGGAAGGAGAAGGAAGGGCAAGGCGATGAATGCGCTGTGGGTAGGGGTGCGAGCTGTCCGATCCCGAGGGGAGCTCCCGTTCGAGCGGGGACCCCCCTCCGACAACATGTTTTACGTTGGCGGCTAGGCAGAGTGACTGCGCTGGCGGAAGAGCCTTGGTAGGGCACACGAATGAGAATATCCGACAACACACATCCATGGCCACCCCAGGCATTTCACCCCGAGAAATCTAAGGGTCGAAGAGGTACTTGTGCCAGTTGTCAGCTCATGACTCAGTAGTTGTCAGCTCATGACTCAG